GATGCAACTGGAATGAAAACSGCAATCCTGTTATAAAGTGCATGARAATGGTGTACAGCTCCCAGGAGTAGGGAAGAAAGGAAAAACTAGATTTGTATAACTGGAAATAATGACTGGCATGCTTGTCCGATACAGCCCGGTAGTAATTTGGCTGCACAGATAGAACTGTTCTTGCAATAAATTAATGTTTTAATGAATTATGTGTCAGTGAAGGATCCTGCTTTTCAAAGYGTCTGCAGACATTAAAATGCAGATGCCTCTGCATTTTGGTTATCATTATTCACAAGAATGTATGGTGTATAATGCTCTATTTAGCAAGTTTGTCCAGCCCTTTTAGAAGTGAAGGCTAAACTTGTTTTTCGTTTCCCCCCTTATCCACTTCAAACATCATTAGTTTGAGTAGGCTGTAAATATGTCTGTTGCTTTGGCAACAGTTCAGGAAATGAAACTGCAAGCTTTGCCTATTAGCCCTAGATTAATTCAGTCCAAGTTGTTTTCATCAAATGCTGCAGATTACAGGGGTGGGAATCTGGGTCCAGCCTCATGGGAGCTGTCCAGTGATTAAAGCAAATCCGTGGTTATGGGCTTGGCTGTCCACTAGCACAAAATGTGAATTTCATGGAACATGACGGCACCATGAGAACTTGCCAGACATATTTTTTARTTTGACCGATCCACGTACTCTCCACAGCTGCTCCATAAAGTTGGCTGTACCTGTCTGCTCTCTCCCAGTGGTAAGATACATCTGTGTGAGTACTCTGGGAGAGGCACCTGGCCTGTTAACTGTGGGGAATCTTCACAAATGGACAAACCTTTTGTCAAGTGTGCAGCATTTTAAGCCAAGCAGCATGAGTGTAAWTTGGAACTGTAGCAGCTGGGACATGACTGATGATTTCAGTGAAGAGATGACTGCCACACCAGGGTGTTGGTCAGTTGGTGACAGTGTTGGTCAGAGATGATAACAGAGACAGATTTTCTTGATTTTTTTTTTCCCACAGGGAGGAAAAAAAGAGATTATCTCCATTTTCTTCCCACCACCCATCTTTGCATGGAAACACTTGATAACAAGCCTGTGACTCCATGAGGTGTGGTGGTAATATGAGAAATCACTTAGACCACACACACACCCTTCACAARAGTGTGTGGCCTACTTAGACTTTCATGGCTGCAAAGACTGGAACTGCCTCAAACTTGCCATCAGCTCTCTTTTTTCCTCTTCTCCTCAGAGTAAAGCAGCAGGCTAGTTGCAAAGAGAACCTTGCAGGTTTTTCTCTTTCTAGGCACTGGGAGCTAAACAGCCYTTTTTGACTTAGGGAAGTGGTATGTGCTAAATGGTAAATTGAGCTGTTGGTGATTTGAAGATCCAGACAGCTAAACAAGAGGAAAACAGAGAAAGGAGTCTTACTCTGGTTTCCTGATTCCAATCCATTATTATTTCGGGAGTGGTCAAAAGTCAGYGCCTTTGAACTGTTTGGCTGGCCTCCATCCAGTTTCTGCCAGTGCAGCTGGCACCATCTGGTCCCTTGGTTACTGTTCCCCTGGGCAAGGCCATGTTTTAGCTGAGCTGAGGGACACTTCACTTYCCTTTTAACCATCCACAGCCTCCCAGGAGTGTGCTGCAAGTTGGTCAGCTGGGCTTTTCTCGTTCTTTGGATACAGTGAAGAACATTGCTCTTTTGGGTGCCTGAAAAGTCATTTCATGTCAGCGAGACATTTAACTCAGTGTCTAAAAATCAGTGAGCCTACATGATAGACCATATTTTCAAAGGAGCTGGAGCTGAAAATCAGTCTGAACAGGTTCACTGTAGACAAGTGGACATAGAAAGAAAATTGGATAAGGGAAGAGGGAAATTGTGTGTCATGACATTAGTGAGGGTGGTATTGAGTGGGAGTGGCAGGTGAGAAGAAAAAAACAAACCACAAAACTGCAAACAAATAAAAACCCTCTATAACATTTGTAACTAGCACTTTGTCCCAGGTGACTGGAATCTATTTTTAAAGAGGATAGAARGGAGGACCCTGAGAACTGCTCATGTCAACCCCATCTCTGTGCGTAGGAAGATCACGAACATCCTCCTAGAAGCTGGGCAAAGGCACACGGGTGATGGAGGTGATTCAAGACAACCAGCAAAGCTTCACCAAGGGCAAGTCCTGCCTGACCAACCAAGTGGCCTTCTGTGATGGATTGACTCCATCAGTGGACAAGGGAAGGGCTTCAGAAATTATTTGTCTGAACTTCTTTGTCTGAACACTGTAAAGTCTTTGACAMAGTCCTCAAACTACCTTTCTCTCTAAATTGGAGAGAGATAGTCTCAATGGCTGGACTGTTAGATGGATTAGGAATTGGTTGGATCCAGTCACATCCAGAGAGTAGTGGTCAACTGCTCAGAGTCTGACAGACATCAGTGRCAAGTGTTGTACCTCAGGGGTCCTTACTGGGACCAGTTCTATTTAATACTTTCATTAATGACATAGACAGAGTAGATTGAGTGCACCCTCAGCAAGTTTGCAGAAAATACACGTGAAGAGCACGACGCCATCCAGAGGAACCTGGACAAGTTCAGGAAGTGGGCCCATGGGAATTTTATGCAGTTCAACAAGAACCTGTACAAGGTGCTGCACCTGGGTCAAAGCAACCTGGAGTATCAAGACARGCTGTGGCTGAACAGATCAAGAGCAGCCCTAGAAAGAAGGACTTGGGRGTGGTGGTGGATGAGAGACTGGACATGAACCAGCCATGTGCACTCACAGCCCAGAAACCCAGCTGTATCCTCGGCTTCATCAAACAGTTTTTGATAGAGTTTGCTGAAGCCAGCAGTGTGAGGGAGAGTATTCTGCCCTTCTGCTCTGCTCTGRTGYGACCCCACCTGGAGTGWTGCATCCAGCTCTGGGGTTCCCATCAGAGGAAGRTGTTGGACCTGTTGGAGATAGTCTAGAGCAGGAGTATTAACATGTTTAAAAGACTGGAGCACCTTTCTTACAAGGAAAGGTTGAGAGAATTGGGATTGTTCATCCCAGAGAAGAGAAGGTTTGAGGATGACCTAGTGGCAGCCTTCCAATACCTGAAGGGAGCCTACAAGAAAGWTGGAGTGAGTCCATTTACAAGRACATATACTGASAGTACAAGGGAGGTTARCTTTAAAATGACAGAGAAAAGGTYTAAATTAGGTATTGGAAAGAAATTCTTTACTGTGAGGATGGTGAAACACTGGAACAGGTTGCCCAGAGAAGTTCTGGTTGCCCCATCCCTTGAAGTGTTCAAGGCCAGGCTGGATGGGGCTTTGAGCAACCTGGTTTASTGGAAGGTGTCCATGCCTATAGCAGGGGAGTTGGAACTCAATGATCTTTAAGGTCTCTTTCAACTCAAAACATTCTACAATTCTGTGACAACATCTGTCAGATTTGRTCATTATCAGAAGGGATCCTAAATTCCAACAGTCCCCTTGACAGCTGAGCGAGTCTTGTGTAATGGGGGTGATGAATAATTCCTACTTAGCTAGATTTCTGAATACTCATGTTCACTCATGATTGTTTGCTTTTGCAAGGGCAGTAAATGAAAGTGAATGCTCCAGGGAGCTCTTTGTRAAAGAGCAAAGATGGGGGGTAGGAGCAGGTCTGTGACTCTGTGAACAGGCAGTCAGGGTCACCCAACATGAAAAGCAACAAATACTCTTTGTTCTTGCCTGTTGCCCTGGCTTGGATGGTGCAAAGTTCCTCATTTTAATGGTGCTGTGCCTCATTTTAACTCGCTCTGTCCAGGCACTCACTGGCAGGTCCCCTCAGCCTGCAGGCAGCCACTGCATGGTCCTGCTGCCTCAACTATGAGCATACTTACAAAAGCCATGGAGAAGAGCCATGGAGAAGCAGACTTTTCACCAGCAACAAGTCTGTCAACTTGGAAGGGGAAAAAACAAGCACAAAGTCTCTGGAGGGCCTTCGGGCCAACTTATGCTGATGTCAGAATGTCAAGGATGCCTGTCTTTATTGGCCTGAGGGGTGTCTTTGCAGTGGTGCTGTGTGTGGAAATGGAGASCATGAATCTGAATCCTGAGCTGTTGTACTGGATGCAGTTAATGGGACACTCGTGCAACAGCTGTTGCTGCTGTGTTTAAAAATTTATCATTCCAGCCCTGTGATACTATCTGATCCTAGAGATCCCTTTAATTTTGTTTTTATTAAGAGTGCTGCTTTACATCTCTAGAGCTTTTAATTGTAAAGGTCAGCAGCAGYGTAGTCTAAATGGTTCTTGAATCACAGACGAGCACTCAGCATGCTTCAAGTGTTCCTTGCATCCACTGTGACTGTCACAGCCCCACCTAATGTACACACAACTGAAGGACCGAATGCAGCAATTCATCCTGTTAGTCCTTACTCATCAGCACATATTATTTTCTTACATAAAGCTACCTCATGCAAGATCTTGGACCATTTTCCTGCTCTCCACCCCTCCAGAGAGACATGAGAGAAGCTCCACCATGGGAAACTGGATAAAAGTTTGAGGAGTAGATAGCAAAGAACAGTCCTGCTCTCAGGGAGCGAGGGGGGGGTCAGAGGTGATCTAGCATATCTGTGACCTTTAGGATAGCAGCTGTGATGGCATTTTAAGTTGTGTAAACAATATCCATCTGTAAGTCTTGTGTAACTGCCTGAGTACCTAGGACACATTATCTTAGCAAGAATCTTGGAGCAAGTAGTGAAACAGTGAAGGAGCAGGGATTGCAGCTGACATCATGTGTTTACACTAGTGAAGTCAGGGGAAGACTCAAACCATCTGAGTGACCTTACTGAGCTAAACTGGCAGACAGTGACAGCAAGCAAAAGCCACTTGTTGCCAAGCTGCAGACTAAGTGTGTAGGAAGAAATCATTGTTTTGTTTTACATTATTTTGAGTTCTGTGCACAACACAAGGCTCAGCACAACACCTGCAGTCAAAGCAGTTAAGGTAGCTGGAGCATTGATGGTTTTGTCTTTCTCCCTCAGGATGTCTTGCTGCTGAGTCAGTTTATCCGTTCAGATGGAGGGATGCTCCCACGAAGGATCACAGGCCTCTGCTTGGAGGAGCACAAGAAGGTTGCTGTCTGTGTGCAGATGGCTCAYCGTGCAGGTATTTAGCTCTGCCAGAGACAGCCCTTGACTGTGGGGTACCTACTGAACCCTTGAGAGGCATTTCCTGCCCAGTTGGTATAGCTCAGTGAGATGTCATTGTCCAGTCACCCAGCAAACTTGTCTTGGTCCAAGTGCTGGGACTGGGTGATGGAGCAGAGACTACTTTTCTGTTTTCTCTATGTCCTGACTCCTGCTTTGACAGCAGACATTTATCCCTGTAGATGAGACTAGTGTTGCAGAAAGATCTGGGAAGTGGCTCAGTCTCCAGTAACTAATGATTAAACACTTGCTTTTGAAATGACTTGATTTACCTAAGCTTGACCTACCCCATTAGTAACATGGAACTCTACCATCTGCCATGTGACAACTTTTTTATTTTTCCCTGGGAGTGGGATTCAGGTTGATGCAGTTAAGAGTATTGTGCTGATCTTTATGCCTGGTATCTGAGTTGTATTCAAGTTAAATGGACTGAGAATTTTAATAGTCAGATTTTCCATCCTGGAGATGGAATCTGATTGGACATCAGTGCTCTGTGTCCTCYGAAAAAGCTTCTGCAATGAGCCCAAGTGACTGTGTCTTTGGTGTGTATTACCTCCYTAGATACAGCACAACTTCCTAGCTTCCCTAGCTGGAGTGTAGGTTCATCAGTGACTAAAGATAAAATACCCTTTCTACTGTACTTGAGCTTTTGGTGTGCTGTCCCAGTAGTGACCTGGGTTGCCTGGCTTATGAGGTGTAGTGTGGCTTCTGAACGCAACAGAAGCAAAAAGACACTGCAAAATATTTTCACATCTTTTTTCAGGTTTGTTGCCAAACCACAGGCCTCCACTTCCTGAAGGGCATATTCCCAAGAAACCCAAGCTGAACAGGTGAATAGTCTTGTCTTTCCACATTTCTCTTTTTCAGGAATAAATTGGAAGGGGAAAAGCAGTTCCTTGCAACTGTGTGAGAAATGCCTCATGCAGCAGGGTTCATAAAGAGTACTCAAAATTTTGGAAAAGATCTGTCACTATATTCCCTTGTCAGTCTTGTAAGGACAAATCGTATCTCATATAAACCGTTTATTCACAYAGGATTAAAACTGCCTCATGTTAGAGTCTGCCTGCCCTTCCTCAGCTGTGCTCATCACTTCATCACTAATAATCAAYAAGGCAGTCGCAGGAGGATGCCACAGGTGGAGTCACAGCACCACAGAATAGCWGAAGTTGGAAGAGCTCTCTAAAGATTGTCTTGTCCAAGCTCTCCACTTAAGCAGAGGGACCTAGAGCAGCTTACACAGGACTGTCCTGCCAGGTTTTGAGTATATGCAAGGATATACCACCTTCAGTTTCTCCTGAGGGCAGCTTGTTCCCAAGAACCAGCTTCATACAAAACAGTGTTCTCTTACATTCAGACAGAATTTCGTTTTTCAATTTGTGCCCTTTGCCTCTTGTCCTGTCGTTGAGCACCAGTGACTRGGAAGAGCCCACCCCTGTCTTGTTTACACCCTCCTTTTAGGTACTTACGAACATTGGTAAAACCCCCCAAACCTTGTCTCCTAGCCCCTAGTCTCTTAGCCTTTTTAGCCCCCACAGGAGGATGCCCAGGCGGGGTAGCAGCAGTGTGGCTGGGGGGAGGGTGGGCTGAGCMGCCAGCAGGGGCCCATCATAGGCCTGGTGGTACCCTCTGCCCCATCCCCATTTCCTCCAGTCAGCAATTTGCTCTCCACATGTCCTTCCTATGCAGCAGGGTCTCTTTCCCCTCCCCAACCTGAATGGCCCCTGGCCTTTGGTGGGCAAAGGGAAAGCCTGCAGCCGCCTCCTGCTCTGTGCTGGGCACTTGGAGGTGCTAATCCCCTGTTTATAACCTCACACTCTGTTTCCATGGGGATGTCAGAGCAGTGTATGAACCTCGCATTAGCAAACTGGGGTTGCTAGAGGCCACGGGGCTGTCACTGGGAGAGCTTAGACTGCAGGGCTGAGGACAGCTGAGACTYCTGAATTTCAGGTCTGACTCTACAGTAGAGATTGAGAGAGGCTCTTGGAAATGCTGGCAGGCTGCATAATGGGTATCAGTTACGATCAAATTAGAGGACACTGTGTTTGATGCAGCCCTGTAGCCATCAGATACTTCAACTGTGATAACTTCTTCCCTGTGTCTTACAAGTCTTGGGGATTCTTTAGTATCTTTGTATTATCTGGCAGCTGTAGGGTGAAGCACATTTTATCTTCTTAGCATTCACATTGCAATCCTCTGTAGCAAGTTGAGACTGGAAATGGTAAATGCAGTATCTTGCTRAAATCACACCAAGACTTCAGATCTGATGCCCTGACTCTTACAAATTGTTCTATAGACTTCTAGTGAGAACAAAGAATTAATACCTCCGGATACATTCTATATGCAAGTCAGTGTGCTACACCTCTAAATTACTTAAATTGGAGATTATTGCATTGCTATCCCCTCCCTAGACCATCCTTGTAATTCTCTTCCCAGAGAGGGAGTGTAGCAGGCATGGGGCAAGCAATTTTAAAAAAGAGAGTAGAGTGCTCTGCTGAGGATATGGAGCAGTATTGAAGTAGGCAGATTTTGGGGTCTGGGTGGAGACAAGAGAATAGGATCAAGAAATGGGATTGAAAGTTTTGGTGGTGGGGCTGAAACCAMACAAATGAGTCCCAAGAGCTAGTATATAGTGCAGAAGTACTTCAGGAGTGCTCTCCTGGTCCCTCATGATACTGTCTTCCTAGCCTGCTGGAAGGGGAAAGCGCTGTGTCTTGGAGCCTTGTGAAATCTTGGCCATTCTGTCAGAGTTGTGACTGTTCAAACCCCACCTGTACTGCCCTTGTTGCTCTCTGGAGCAGTTGCYGGCACTGCATAAGGCAGGAGTTACAAATTGCTTCCTTCCTCTAGCCTGAAGCGCACCCACATGCTGAATGACTGAAGTCATTCAACKGGTACTCACTTTGGGAATGAAGCCAGAGCTCTTATCAGAAGTTTCCCACATAAATGACTTGTCCAATCTTACCTTGTCTTTGCCTCTCTACTTGTTTCCAAAGCTTCCTGTAAGTCTGTAATGACTTGGGAAGCACTCAAGCTGGGGTGCTGCCAAATGTAAGTGACCTRACAGGGAAGAAAAGGGGCAGAATTGGGCTTGGGACTTTGGAGTAGAACAAACTGCCTTGTTCAATGCCATCAGAACATGTCATGGGTCATCCTCCAAACATATAATAGAATATCAGGGCTACTCACCTGACTTAGCTTKTTCCTTCATTGTGTTTATGTCTACTGGATTTTTAAATGCCAATTCAAGAAGRGATCAATAGGATCTAAAGAGAGCCTATTATAGTACACAATACATTACACAGTTAAGTAATGTATTTTCCAAATCTTTGAGCATCATCTCTTTTTGAGATTGCTGTATTGGCTGTTCTAGCCAACTTTACCCCTGTGCTTAGATGAGAGATAGCAGTGCCTTTCTGCATTGCTGCTATAGCCCTGATAATGCCAACAGGGAGAAACTGAGATGCTTTATAATATGCTTGGGCCCCTTGTTAAAGCTTTTCCAAGACAGAAACACAGGTAATGTAAGCAGTCTGTTGTTTGTCTCTTTACTCTGAATGGAGAAACTTTTCACTCTTGTGAAGGAAGGGCTTCTGAGAAGTCACTGTCTACTCCAGATGTTACCTCACATACTCTGTGAGAATTCCTAGYGTCTGGGAACTGCCTGCCATCTTACACTGAGCTGAAGAATGTTTTGCTGATGGTAGAGCTCTTGACATCAGACTAAGCATCAGCTGCTAGAATGGCAGGACCATGATGAAAGCCTAAGATAGCCTTAGGGACCCATTCCACTCACACCACCTGAGGCTGAAGGAGATTCATCATGGCAAGTGTGGTGTGAAGTGAGAGTCTGAGCCCAGTGCCTCTGCCATGATACAGGCCTGAGCATTGGCTTACTGCATGTAGACTTAGAGCAGCAACCCCCGCCTGGCTGAAGTCTGGCAGATTACTGCATTTGGATGAGCAATCTCTTTCATTTTTTTTTCCGATCTGGTAAAGTTCGGGTTGGGGCTCCCCTTGGCCAGGGTTCTTCCATGGCTGTGTCAGTATTTTTGAGAGCAACTCCATTTGTTTCTGAAAGAGGGACAGATGAGTCTGATGAAAAATTGATTTGTCCCTTAGACAATGTACAGGCCAGCTTCATGGGAGGAACTTTACAGCTCCTGGGTAAAGGCGCAAAGGAAATATGTAAAGGATTGAGTAGCTGCACTACTGCATACTTTTGAAAGCACAAAAAAAACCCGGCTCCTCAGCTATTTCTTTACTGCACTTGTGGCTGTTTTGGCCAGAATGTTTGGCCCATGTCACTGTCACCCTGACTAAAGTGAGCCTGCTTCAAATCCAAAGAGTCTGGTATGCGCTAGCTAACACCTAGCTGGGATTAAAAGGTATCATGCCACCATATGGAACTATCAGCAAACTGTCKTGTTTTAACAAGGGTCAGGGGTGCTGACATGCCATTGATTCAGTGTTGTGAAGTGTGGATTTATCATCCAGAACCCCTCTGCCTCTCAAGAAGGTGCTCTTCTGGTGCTTATTCTGTGATGTTTCCCAAAAAGCAGAATTCCTGCTCTGATTTCTGAACTGGTTTTATTATCTCAATTGTATGAACTTTGGACATTCCCTTCTGCATGCCCCAGATTTCTCTGCAAAGCAATAAGGATTTCCTTGCTTTGCACTGGGTCATTTGGCAGCTGGCCTTCCTCTACTCACTTCTTATCCTATTTCTACTGTTGGAATTCAAGAAGACCATAATGCTTTTAGAAGTACTGACTGCAGATCCACCTTGTACTTGGTTACACAACTGTCTAGCATGKTATGGTTCATTCAGGATGTAATGTAACACAGGAGAGGACATTGGGAACTGCAGAGGAAGGCATAACATGGAAGTGAAATGCTAAGCTTTGGGGTCCTGAGGGTGGTAGTAGATGCATAAGAATGTCTTCTGGTCAGAATTCARCTGGGGAGCATTCCACATCTCCCTCTTCTACCGGCTGCAGTTGGGACACTGTGCAGGTGACACTTGCCGTGATATTTCTCATTTCTTGGACTTAAGTTCTTTGCCTTTTTGCTTTCTGCGTAATTTGGTTTTGACAGACATAGTTCATGAATGTTACCACTTAACTGCTTTACTAGTTGTGGTTCTTTTGAACAAATGGCCATGGGATTTACCCACATCATCTATGAACTCTTGAGTCTCCTGTTCTCACCTTCTCTTTCATGTCATTTGACTGCAGAAGTTGCATATAGAAAACAAATCAAGTTTACCCTGTCAATGCAGAATTACTCCCTACAGTTCATTTTCCTCATGTTTGGCCCASTCTAGGGCTTTCACTCTTTCCAGGGGATCACTCCACGAGCAAATTTGTCTTGCAGCCAAGGATTGTTCCCCTCATCCTCAGCCTGTATTCTCCCTTTCAAAACTTCCTGCTGTTATTTCTGCATCTGTTTGTGCTCCAGCCTGGCATATTCCAATTAAGTGCTGCAGCAACAAAATATTTTCAGTAGTCCATGAGGYTGAGAAGTTCTAAGTGTCTTCACCAGCATTGTGTAGGGTGACAGATTGTTCCCATACTCCAGAGTCATATGTGTGCAGGCCAATACATGCCAGAACCATTTGGGAAACAGTCAAGCTCAGCTGTAGGTCAGACTTCTTCCTTCCATTAATGGAAACCTGCATGGAAAATTAATAGCTCAGCAGTTTTCAGCATGGAGGTTTTTGCATGGAAAATGTGTACTAACACTCTATCCAGAACAGTCCTTAAATTCAAGCCAGCATCTAGATGCTCTCTTAATGTGAATATAGCACTCATATTCTTCTGGCAGACCCAAAGTATTGGTTAAAACACTGCACTGTGAAGTTGTTCCCTTTGCAAAAGGACTAGGGGATGTCACGGGTTCCCTGACTCTGGGGTCTGTCAACAAGAGGTGCTGTAAGATTATGGAGTACTTGATTTGGAGTGCTCAGCTGCCACTCCATTTTCAGCTTCCTACTGGAAGAGCATAACTTGGCACAGATCGTATCCCAAGTCAATCCCTCCTCCATCACCTGAACTGGAGGAGTTGCTATGTGTTAAGAAAGAGGCAGGCTCCATACAAATTCCTCATGAATTACAAAGTTCTCAGTCTCTGTGAACACCTCTCATCCCTGGGAACAGAATCTGGTTTCCCTACTATCAGCACTTCACTCCAGCAGCATGTGGTTCCTCTCAGCTGCATGGAAATTGTTGTGCATAGCATGTGTATTCAAAAGCAGAGAACCAGAGCGGCTGCAGGTGAGCAAAGCCAAGAGGTGTCATGGGAAGGGATGTGGCAGGGAGGAGGCAGTCTCGCCAGCACTTTGATCGAGTGCTTCCTGCAGTCTGTAGCCCTCTGCCTTCTGCTCTTAATCCAAACAAAAGCCGTATTGAAAAAAAATTAGTGAGAGTTCAGAAGTTCAGCCTTGAACTGTACCAACATGGCCTTTGCTTGGGCTGTATACAGGACGGTGGTTTTCACATTTCCYTTACCCTGCACATGCAAGCCCTGTGCCTACTCCTAGGTCTAAAATGGCAGCCTCCAAGTGGGAAGGCCTGCCCACTGAATAGAATCCATGAAAACAGACTTCTGCATGCTACAGAGATTTTAGGCTATTACAATGACTGCAGGGGAACTAACCACAGTTGTTTCCTGCTTATATCTTGCTTTTTCCCATCAGGGAAATCCTGCCAAGGTTCCTATCACTCTATCCAAACTATTTATTTGTGCACTTGGAGTCTAGGGATTCTTGTTCTTCCTTAGGACCCTACCATGCTTAAGGGGCTAAGCAGAGCCCCAGGGTGGGTCACCAGTTCCCAAGACTGGCAGTTCTGTCCCCCTTTGCYTAGAGTGGGACTTCTGCACACTGAGGTAACAGGTTAGGGGACTGCAGACCAGTAGCATTTGACATCCACGTGAAGTGTCTGTCTTGACAACCTTCAGTTGCTTGAGAAAATTCAGACTGTCTGCCAGCGTGTGTTTGTAGGTGATTATAAAAGCTCCTCAAGACAAACCTTGTTGGATACAATGAAAAGTTAGGAGACTTGGTTAGAAAAGGGTGTGTACTACCTTACATGGATGGCAGAGTTTGCACAAAAGTCCTGTATGCTGGACTTGAAGCTCTCCTGTGTGAGTTTTGTAGATTGTTTATACTCTCAGAAAAAAACCCCAAAACTGTGAATGAGTAGGAAATGGAGTTAGTCAAAAAGGAGAAGGAACTTTGTAGACTGACCGCTCCCAGGCATCAGGCTTTTGCACTGCTGAATCAAGGTAAAAAAAAAAAAAAAAAAAAAAAAAAAAAAAAAAAAAAAAGCAGCAAACAAAATAGGACAAGTTTGAGTTTGGGACAAAGCAAGTATTAAAAGCCCTTAAAGCAAATGTGCTCCAGGAAGGGAAAGTGTCCAAATGTCTGTTTCAGCTAACAATGAAAAGCCCCAGCCTGCAGTCCCYAAAGGAAGCCAAAAGCCTGGACCAGAGGGCTGGATTAGACCTGCTCAAAAGAGAAATAACAAAAGCTTTAAAATCAGGCCATTACTAAATCCTCCTTCCTATGCAGAATTGGGGTGTGCACTTCCAGCCCCCACACAGAAACAGAGGGATTTCTTAAAAAGCCACTGTCTGTCTAAACCTGCATACAGCATTGATGTGTATCTCACATTCACACATTCACTTCTCTCCCAGTGAGATCATTTATTATCACAGGAGCACTTTCCCATAATCGTGTGGACACGTGACCAGAATTGCACTTGGCACATTGATGCAGTAAAACCATTTGGGATTTTTTTTTTCCTCCCTTGCTGTAAGTGTTGTCTTGCAATACCAAAACTTGTGCTAATGGCACTCCCCTTGCAGGAAGGGGAATATGAAAAGGACCTAGCTATGTGTCCATCTAATACCCCCTGTAGCTTCTCCCAGAGGAGCTGCTTTGCCAGATTCCAAACTGGGGACCTGTGTTTGGTCTCTCTGAACTCCCCTTCCATGTGAAATTAGAGACAGGAAAGTCTCTCCTACTTCCTGTCCCAATGCTGTTATGTAAGAGATTCCACTGATGCACTAGCATAGCATTACAGGTCAGAAGGGAGAGTTTAATGCATGCATAGGACAACAAGTAGCTGGATTTTGCTCTGTGTCATCACCCAGATCCCTTCTGCTGTTGCTTCTAGGTGTTTTAACTATCAATTCCTCAAAGCAAAAATAAAGTATTTTGAAAGTGGCTTGATTTCAAAGGTGGAAAGCTCCACATACGATTCATTTTTCAGTTTGTGCTGTTAGGGAGTAGTGAGGAAGAAAAGTGCTAAATGGGCTGCTGTTATGCAGTCTATAGCTGCCTGGCATGGCAAGCTTTCTTTGTAGTTCTCAGGAATGTGCCAAATGCCTTCAAACAAATGTATTACATGGTCTCTGTCCAAAGTTCTTAATATCTCGAATTTGCACGATGCAAATAAAAGGTAACAAAGCTTTTTGTGGGGAGGATGRCTGATTGAGGTTACATTAAGACCATGGGATTACTCAACAGAGGCATGCAAACATCGCTGGACAAAGTTTATCAGTCTGTTCCAAATTCTAATTTGTCAGAGCATTGTTTGTGCAGATTATGCTAAGGTTTTCCTTTGGATCTTTATTGTCTGAAAAGACTCCTCTTTCTCTAAGGACCTCTATTCCCCTCTCTGCTGGTAGCAAAAGATTTAAAGCCTAACAAAACTCCAGGCCACCCAGCCACAGGGTAGGATTTCCAGTAACTGATTCTGGATCTGAAATCCCCTGCCTGTTTGCGAAGCCAAGTCTAAAACTTCAAATGGTAAAAAGCAGAGGATACTTGCCAGACGCTGCTCTTAACACAGATTTGTAGTTGTGATGATAATTCCATTTTAATGCCTCGTACACTATAGGTGCTGACTTCCTGCACTAGCAAGCTGCAATAGTATTGTACAGAGAACACTAGAGCAAATTTGGACATATAAAAATACAAGACTAGGCCATAAACCCRTTCCATGTAGAAGTAATAATCAATTATCCCCCCAAAGTAAATTAATTCATTTTTAGAGGCTTTCTCACAGTATTTAGCCTTAGTAATTAGTTTACCTTATTGAGACCAGCTGTTGAAATAACATGTCTCCAAGAGGCTGGATGCATTSAGTCTTGGACTTAGGTGCAATGAAGGGATTTGGCACTACAATTTAGCTGCAGGTGGACAACTTGCCAGCAGCCTGGAGACTACACCTGATTTGTGAAACTGGAAGTCAAGCAGGTGCTTGTGGGTTCACTAGAGAGGTATCTTAGAAATTCCAAAACAAACAAAAACKCCTTTCCAGTGGTCCCTTCTGAATTGAGGGAGCTCTGCTCATGGTTATTCTGTTTATAAAGAGGCATGTTACGAGGTAAAGACTATAGTGCCTTGTTTCTGCTTCAGTTGGAGCATTTTCTCAGTGATCAGTCTCAAACTGAAATGTGTTTGTGTTGTTTTAACAGGTACCTGACCCGCTTGTCCATCAGAGCTGCAAAGCCCATTTGGAGGAGGGGCCCTAAGTGGTGCAAAAAGCCTTTTCCAGTTGGACACCCCCTGCTGAAGGATAATGTCAAATATACACAAAAGCCTCTCTGTTTAAACCACTAGTGGCCAGAACTGGTGTAGTCAGTAAGCACATGTTTTCCACTGTTCTGCTGGGTTTTTTTCAAGTTGGTCTCTATCTCAAATTTTCTTATTACAAAATTGTTCTTAGTGCTCTATGTTGTGTCCAACTGTAATCTCTTCCTCTACAAGAATACAAGAGCCATCAAAGCAAAGTTCATTGTGCAGGATGATTTGATGAAAGCAAGRGGCAAAGACTTCTGCCTCAAAGCCAGAAAGGATCTGAAGGCTTTTGTTTCTTTATATTCCACAAATGGGTTTGGAAAAGGATGTTTCATTCTTTTCCCAGCAGTGAGTGGTGTTTCCCCATTAACGTGTGTTTCAACTCGGATTTGCCTCATTTGGGCTTTTGTACCTGTGCCATAACGGGAAGAAAAATTTCTCTTGCAGCACTGTGTTTCCTCGGCAGTGATTGTTAATGACTGCTGAAATTTTTTTTTGTACTATTATCGTCTGTACTGCCCATAATTTGAAGCAGAACACCTGTGGCAGTGGCAAACAGGTATGTGTCTTACATGTCCCCTTAAAGATTYCTGGTTTGTGCCTCACTCCTCAATCTGGCAAATACACAATGTTGATATCCTTGATGACCTGGCCTGTTTGTTTTTTTTTTTTACCCTGGCAAATGCATTCTTCCATGCCAGAGATACGGTTGCTTCCTGGGGTGGTTTGGAGCTGATTGTCCATCCTGCAACTAAAAGGCAGCACGACTTCTCTCCCTATGAAGTACATATATGAATGTTCCACCTACTGACCACTGCTAATCAGGGGCCTGGTATGAAAGGCTCATAAAATTTATCATGGTCATTATTGTTTTGGCTCCATTTCTTTGGTATTTATCTGGGGGCTACAAATCAATACAGAATTTGTATGTACTATATGCGACTTAACCTTGTATTGCTTTTATCAGAATCATTTGCTAATACCGATCAGTACGGACAGGAACAAAAGGTAAAGATATTTCCTGTATTATCCAGGAAATCAAATTAGATTTAAATGGTTCTTTTTAGCCCTATTTTGTGAAATGGAAGCCCTAGATTCAGCCTGTTGAGCTGGCCAAGACCTTTTGCTTTGGGAGACAGTGCCAAGACTTCATTAACTATACTGAGATAAAATCTCTGGCTGACTATCTCTGTTTTATAAAGCTTTGAAAGCTACAGCCCTTCAGAAAGGAAAATATTTTTCTTTATTCTCATACATACAGAAGTTAGTATGTCTTCTAGCCCAGGTAGCTCTACTCAGTGCTTTGCTAATGGAAAAGTCACTGCATTAAACCACTGTCTTAAGATGAACCTAAATAAACACATTTTTCAAGACCAGTTGATGGCCACAGCTRTTTTTTTCCTACAGTTTAGTGACATGAGCTGGAAAGACCCCTCTAATTTCGGTGAAATCTAACATCTGAAAAGCAAAATGCTCTCTTCAATATGCCTTTATATAGAGTTCAAGGTTCAGTACAGGTCTCTCAGAGTATACATCAGTTTACTGCTCTGACTCCAACTCTGCTTTTGTYATTCATGGGTGACAGTGGGTATTCACTCATGTCTCCAAATCAGTTCTTGTATAAGCAAGGTGCTTTTGTCATCAGACAGGTGGCCTAAGTTTGATTTCTGACCGAGAGCTTGCCTGTCAGGGAAGAAAATGCCATTTGTTTCTATGTAAAGGATCTGCAGTGACACATTACAGGGAGAGCTTGGTGCTAATAACACCAAGGTTGTGTTCAATCCCCTTATGGGCCATTCACTTAAGAGCTGGACTCAATCCTCGTGGGTCCTTTCCAACTCAGAATATTCTGTCATTCTCTGAATTCAATCTGGAATTTAAGGAGGATTGCATACAATGAAGTCCTAGGAAAAGAATGAGGGCTCGAGTCCAGGCATAAAAGAATCCTGGTCTAAGTGCAGAGGTTTCATATTTTTATTACAACAAGCAGCAAGCAAGAATCTCCTAAGTATAAAATCAAAATCTTTCCTAATTCTTGAGTTCTTGTCCTAGACAGAAGAGTCACAGCATGAAGGGCAGATCGAGGTTCTTCTCACCAGTGCCAAAGTAGACATAGCCGAATTGTTTGGTCATTGGGACATGGTAGAATGTCAGTCCCAGCCACAGCAGGCTCCGCAKCACCACCACAGTGCCTCCCTTCTCCAGCTGGATGCTCCAGGAGCCTGTGCAAGAAGATGTGCAAGTGAGTCAATGGAAAAAAAGAAAGAGTCAGCATTCCTGCAACAAATTGTCCTAAGCTGAGAGAAGGGCTGCCCTGGGTTCTGCCTGACCAATTAACAGTGCGCAAGGCTGCACTGGAGTTTKTGACACCTGAAAAGTGGGAAGTCAGGGAGAACATGAACCTTGATGCCTTTTTTTCCTTTTGTCAGTTCAGCACTGCAGGCTGCCCTCGTTTCCAGATGTCTGTGTCTAGGTTCACACAGTAGCATATTCCCATGGCTCTGGTGGTAATGWCATATGCGTCACAGGAAGGGACTCTAAAGCTCCAGACTTGTGTAGTTGATCCCCAGGAGAGGCTGCAGCTATTCTTGGCTGCTTCTGAGTGGGCAGCAGTTACTCTCAACAAGCTCTGCCACCTACTTGGTATAGCTAATAGCTATAGATGAGCTATAGCAATCCTGCATAGGTATGAAATTTGTCCTTAAAATAAACTTCTAGCATTAGTAGTGGGAAGAGGAAGAAGGTGTTTTCCTCCTTCAGGGAAGACTGGTTTCCCTGATGAAGCAACTGCAAAAAAAAAGAGAAAATTAGAAGTAGGGTATTTCCTATCTCTGAGAAATTTATGGAGGAGGTTCATTCTCTTCAGTCTTTCTTGGCTCCACCATTGAAGAGGATATATATGGTAGGGGCAAAGGGATTAGTTTCCACATTAATTTTGCTTTGGCTCCACAGAGGAGCTTCAGAGCCAGTGTGAAAATGCAGTTTCTTCTGGATACAAGGCGCTCAGAGCCACAATTTATTTTGCATCTGACATGACAGCTTGGGAACTGTGCCAGAGAGAGGGGGCTGAAGTATCAGCTTGGATTCAATGCTGGAGGGCAAGGAGCTGCCAGAGGAAGAAAATACCAGCATCAGCACCAAATCAGTAATGCCTAGAGGCTACAATGTAGGGAAGAAGGTTCCTGCRGAATCTCCATCTGAAAGAAAACAAGCAGTCCCTAATTAAGAAAAAAAAATGCGKTTGGAGTCAAGCAGTCAGCCTATCTACATCCAAAGCCAAAACCTGTCAATTCCAGAGTAAGCAGAAAGCCCATAATGTGCTGGGCCATTTAGGCCATATTCAGCTTTGTAGATAATTTTAGGCTCATTAATTTTAGGCTCATCAATTTATGCTATGATTCATGCTTACTCATGTCATGGTTAGCTTGGGGAAGGGCTTCTGTGATTGCTGTCAGCTGCCAGTCCTYCCCCTCCCACTCACTTGTGATTCTTGGCCAATATTAGTCACATCCGACAAAGGGCTGAAGGGCTTTAACACCGCAGGTTCCTACAGCAGGTCTCCCTGTGATGGAGGAGGTTTGACTGCARCTTCTGCAGCTTTGATCTACCACAGCTGCAAGGAAGCACAGGCTGTTGAGCCTGCCTGGCAGCCACAAGGCAGCAGCTAGCTGGGTAGTCTGTGTTTGTGGAGCTTTTGGCTCTTGCATGCTCCCTTACAGTACGTGTTGTCTCTTGCAGTTCATGGCAAACTACAGTAGCTGAGTGAAGGAGGAAAGTTGAGGGAAAATGTTTATTGGTGGTGGCTGCAGAATCAGAAAGGAACAGTACAATTTAAAACGCTGTAAAACCAGGTGTTGTAAGTTGTGTTGCTCACCTGTTTTCTAATTCTTCCCTTGTATTGCAGTACTTTTCAAAAAGTTTCTTGGACACCACTGTTTCCTCTGCCTCCTTCAGTAGCAATTTCCMCAGGTTTGTTACACTATGATATGCAAGTCCTGTGTCATTTCTGATCTGTTACCTTTCCAAATACCCACTTCAGTCATGTGCAAATGTGGAACTCAGTGGGCAGCAAGAATACCTACCTCCTTTCTGACAGATTGACTCGAGCTGCTGGACAGAAGTGCAAAAGAGACATTCACAGTCTTTTGATTTGGGAGATTTCTGCTTTGGAGAACTTACTTCTGACTCACTCTCCTCCATGTTTCCACTGAAGACAAACAACTGGGGTTGCAGTAAAGCAGAGCACTRCCTAATATGAAAGGGTCAATACAGGTTTGTGCTATCTTTTCACCTTCCTTGCACTGTGACATTCTTTACACAAGTCCTGTGTAAAACATGAGCTAATGTCTTCACAAGCAGTGGTTTCACATACAAGGCAACCCAAATCTCCCAGCCAGTCTCTCCACTCATATGGACACAAATTAGACTGGATCTTTTTCATACCTGGAGTAAAAACACCAATTGTRGTTCAGCCACTGGGATTACAAATAGTGACTGAGGGACTCTCACAAATTCCGCATGTTCTTAAGAACCTTCTCCACCTGGATAGCATGGAAACCCAGATGAGGAACACTTCACTAMAAGGCAGATCATCCAGTGACTGAAACACTACAGCCATCTGCTGTCAAAGGACAAGCAGTTTCAGTTTCTGGAACTTTGTCTCTCCAATTTTCAGCATTTGCTAGTGGCAGCAGCGTGACCATGCATAGAAGTGTTGAGCAATAGTAGCAAACAAATAGGTCTGAATGTAATAGTGTCAAATAACTTTCTCAATTTCTCCTTTGAATGACTGCTCCAAGTGCATGGTTCTTCAGCTTGAATTTGCAGAAATTATCTACAAGTCCTTCCTCCAAATACTAGTGGTTCTTGCTGCAGCTTTACACACTGGTTTGTAGGGAAGGGGATAGTGACACACTGTAAACTTTTGGTAGTTTCTCTGACAAAAAGATAATGCAATGAGGAACTCTCATTGTCCTTGATTTAGAACCAGTCCTCTGAGAAGCAAGTCTGTCAAGATTAGGACTACCTTGCTGGCTAGTGAAAACCTTTAGGGATTATCTAATTTGGTAATGCCTCCCAATGTACTGGAAGCATCTAACAACCTGGGTACATGTGATGACTTGTTTATGTATCTTCACCTACACAGATGAACACT